GACGCTATTTATCCTGTTTATACGTCGAGAACATTTAGACTATTTTTGGTAAGCATATAAGCTAACTTATAGCTTATTTGATTGGCTTATAAGCTTCATGTATTCAAATAAACTTGATTTGGTAGGACAAAAAGCTCGAGTTTTATCTCATATGCTTCCTTGGGTAGCTTTACAAATAAGCCCATTGAATTTTTTATTTCAGCTAGTTTATCAGGTAAAATACTTTAACCATATAAACTAGTTTTTCAGCCATAAGTCATAAGCTATCAGCTATAAGCTCGAAATTCACTTAATAGCTATAAGCTAGCTTTTCAGCTAGGTTTATAGAACATAGCCATAAATGTGGAAAAGGAGGATCAACTAACCTCTTGTCAGCAAAAATCATCATTCCATAATCTGCCTTTGATCGGATAACTCGCCCTACACATTGGGCAGCTTGTCTCTGAACAAGCAAAATATGTCAGCAGCTCAGCATACACATATAAAGTACTTGATTTATTTATTTTTTTTTTAAAAAAAAAGATAAATTTTTCTTATACAAAAATGTTGAAAGATTACCAGAGCATCGAAAGTCAGAAAGTCGCCCTCTTTTATTTGAAAAGTCTCGCGCAAATATTCCAGCCTTGCCAGCAATATTCTGCAATTACAACACTGTTGTTACACACGCATCCAGATATGTAAACATTTGTAAACATAAAACTATGAGAAGGAGATAATAAATCGAAAAAACAAACAGGAAAAAAACCATACTTAACATCACCGGATGCTGAAAGAATCAAGAAGCTAACCTGCTCAGTGTGTACTGAAAAGGAACACCAAACATTATTACAAGTCTGCCATAATGTCTGTCAAAATCGATACCTTCTGCCACTTTTCCCCTGCAATTGAGTTAAATAGGGGTCATAGGATACACGAAATGAGATAACAAATATAAGTTTTTTTTCTGTCATTGATGTTGATTCAAGTTTTCATGCACAAAATCGTGTATTGTTCTGCACTATACCCAAATCCTTACTGGAAATGTAGTTTTTTTTTTTTTTAATGAAAAAAAAATTACCGGGCGACCGAGAAGAAAACAGCACCTCTTCCACAATCGCAAGCCCTGCGATAATTGTCTAACGCCAGTGTAGTTTCAACAACATCCTGAGTCTCTATAAAGACAAGTTTATGCTGCATTATCTCCTGCAATGCATTTTCAATAAGACCCATTCAAAATAAAGCCAATAATTAAATGCATTTATTTAAATAACTTATAAACGAAAACTTGGGTTCCCAGGAAAACATGTTAGACCTTCAAAATTCCTGATTCATGCCAACTATTGACAATTCCATCCATGTAAGAATAACTCACGAAGAAGCACACAATACCATCCGGAACAATAGACACCATTTCAAGCAAAAGTTTGCCGTAATTTTTCTCCACACCAGGGTCACTTCTCAGATCATACTTTGTGCTCACAGGAAGCTGATCACTATCCAGAATAAAATAAAATAAAATATAATAATAATAATAAATTGAATAATAGAAAAAAGGGACACAAGAGAAAAAGTCGTAACTATGAGGAGAACACTTACCTTCCACGAGTGAGAACCATTGGGCATATGCAATCCCTCGTTAAGGACATTGTAAAACTTCGACTGACCACAGGATTGAAATTAAGAAGACGAGGGTAAAGATCAATGGGGCTCAGTGTACCAGAAGTAATAACAACTGACTGGAACCGTTCAAAAACAGGCCTTATGGCAAGAGAAGCATCATGACAACAGAGCTGCATTGTTTCAAAAGGAGGAGAAGAAGAAAAGGCTGAATATTGCTGGAAGTGATGGGGAAAGCCTAAATATAAACTTAAGTTCATAATCACATAAATTCCATAACCGAATGCAGGAGAAAAAGAATCTTCAACCAGTTAGAAATTGAAAGCAAAAGTGCACCTGAAGTACAGGGTCAGGTATATGTGGCATTCTTTCATCAAAAGGCTCGATGATAATAGAAAATCCTCGAGTGTATGTCCCTACAAGAGTTGCCAGATCGCAAATGGTTTGAATGTGTAAAAACTCATCAGTATCGGTTATCTCCAATGTCATCAACAGCGAGTGAAGCCGATCATAACAAAACCGAAGCATTTTCTGGTCAATTCCTACTTGGGAATTAATAGAAGCAACAAAAGTAACGGGTCCCTCTTTCTCAACGTTTTCAGTCTGCAGCCGGCTTTTGAAATATTGTACAAGTCTACGCAAGACAGATAAGAAGTGCTCTGCACGCCTTATATTTCCAGGTACTGCTTCCTTTAATATATCTTCGGGCAAGGTAGGATTTGCAAACCAGGAGTCACCAACTGCAAGGGGGCAGATAATATTTGTGAGAATCAGATCAGACGGAATTACATTATTAATTCAAGAAAATCGCGAATTGGTAAGACAGTATGTATATACTGGGAAGGTTCCCCCTTTGTGCCAACCCTTCAACGAGCCGGTTGTATTCTGCACGAAGTCGACCAGCATCAGTGGCCTTTAACCTTCCTACCAAGGGAAATATAGTTTAGACAAAGGTACTTGCATGATGCTAGTTTCATCTATTTTTACAGTACCATACAAATACAATGCTCATATATAAACCATTTATGATGCCTATTTTCCAAAGAAAATGATCAGGTTTACATTAAAGCAGATTACAACATTATTATCCTCAGAAATCTCAAATTGATGCAGAAGATCTATAAAATTTAGAAAGACAATCGCAAAATGACACATGAGACTTAAGAAAGCGAGAGTTACAATTGAATTTGAATTAGGTAACTACAATATTCTAGCATACATCAATGCCTTTTTCTTCAATGATAGTACTTGGTATATATAAAACACAAGATTAAAAAGAACGTACCTATCAATCTCCTGAGACATCCTATTCAGATTCCTTGTTGCTCCTTCAAGTGTCTGCATTCTTACACTAACACTAAGGGCCTCAATGCACACATTGTCAATATTATGCGCCTCGTCAAAAACAACAACACATTCTCTTTGCATCTCCTTTGATATGATTCCAGCAACCTTAGGGTCAAGCAGGTACTGGTAGCTATAGACCACCACATTTGCAAATTGAACCATATGGCGTGCTAAAAAGTACGGGCACCACCCTTTCTCTTTTCCAAATACCCTCAAATCCTTCAATGATCATTAACAGTAAATACAACTCAAGATCCATTTTTCAAAATTCACATGTAAAAATTTAACACATCATACTACAGCAGAGAGGACCGAGCATAGCTTCCTAACAACCAAAAACTGATGCAAGAAAAACATAGTGCAAATCAAAAGCCTTTCTTCACAAGCATCAACGAGATAGAATTTTGTCACCGATGAACTATAAAGAAGCTGAACAATTAAATCACACTGGGATTCTATTACAAATACTGCAAAAACAACAGTTTAAGCCACATAAGCAAAACCTGCAGCGTGTAAACTCCTGGAGGCAAAACTGCATCCGAGCCCGCCTTCTCATAATCCTCGAAAAACTCACACGTGGGGATATTTGGATTTTCGACTGCCAAAGCCCTTACCCAGCTAGCCGTAAGCTTGCGGCAAGCTGCATCGACCGAATCCCGATTCTCAGCTGACACAACTCTCGGATTCACGCACAAGTTCTTCCTCGACGAGAGCCCCAGCGCCAGGATCCTCGCCGAGGGGCCCAAACACTTGACCTGGTAATTGTGCAGAAACTTTAATTCGGCTAGGGTTTTCTCCATTTCGTGTACGGTGCGGGTGCAGTACAGAAGCTTCACCGGGTTGGAAGGCTTCGACAGGGTGTAGCTCGTGATTAGGGAAAGAAGGGCTATGGTTTTTCCGGTGCCGGTGGGCATCTCTAGGAGGCAATGGCCTTTGGCGTCGAGAGCGCGTTTGAGTTCGACCATGTAGTGATATTGCTCGGGGTATATGTTGTCGTACGGGAAGTATACGGTTACGTCCTCGATTTGGAACTTCATTCTCACGGCGGCGCCGGTGACTTGACGGCGGCGAGAACTGGAAGTAGAGTTTGAGTACCGTGAAGAGATCGCCTGTGGGGTGTCGAGTTTTGCAGTTTTGTGCGGCGTCGTTTCAAGACCTAGTTGTATTTGTAATTTTTCTCTTATACTCCCTCCATTTTGAAATATAAGGCGTATAAAGATTTCTTATTTTTTTTGAAATATAAGGCGCGCTCAAAAATCAAGACAAATTTTTGCATTTTTTTCCAAATATACCCTCATTGTGTTGAAATTAAGGAAGTGTGGAGTGGTTGTGATTAAAGTAAATAAGGTTAATTTAGTCAATTTATTCATTAATTAATGTCTCCTTAATATTTGTGCAATAACCTTAAATGCCTTATATTTCAAAATGGAGGGAGTAATAATTAGCTTTGGTAGTTTGACGAGAACTAGTGTAGTCCCGTGCGCTGCACGGTGGAGTTTTTTTTTTTCTCAAACCCTTTTCTCTAAATTTTATTTTAAATATCTTTCCTTAAAAATTGAAAATTGATTATAATGAGAAAAACAGAAAGATAAAGTATAAAAAAAATTATATTATGAAGCACTTCTCTATACACACCATTATTTGTTTATATCACGCAAAGTGAGAAAACTTCTAAACAAAATTGTTTATCGATGTTGTCTATATTACGAAAAGTGAGAAAACTCCTAAAAGAGAATCGATACAGCCCTTTATTTTATAGAAATCGGTTCCCCATGAAGTATGATATGATATTTGCCACCAATTTATTTGTAAATACCAATATTGGTCTCCACGTGATAATGATGAAAGGCATAAATTTCTCCATCCTTAAGCTCGTAAATGAACTTAGGTATGTGAACAGGCCTTATGAGACCGGTTATCCGCTCACCTAAAAAAAACGAATTACAATACTATAAACGAAAAAAAAAACNATAGAAATAAATGACAAACCTCATTGTCAGAAAAATCAACTCAAACACATTTTTGTAAGAAAAAATTTTGGACATTCGTTGAAAGATGTTCCACTAAAAGGAGATTGGGTAAAACGTCCTGTAAAAATGAATTGATAAGGATATAGTTAATAGTTAATTAATCACCAAGAATAAATATATATATATATATATTAACCAATAAATAATGTTTAATATAGCACATATATTGATGAATATCTATTTAAGTCTAACAATTGTTCTTTTTTATTAATATGAATACAAACATATGAACCAGATTAAATGAAAAAATATTTATAAGGTATGTATTTAGTGATCTATGATATATTAAGTGTTTTATGATAATTGAAATAATAATTATAAATTGTAATAATAATCAATTAATACGTAACATAATTTATATTCTTGTGTTTAAGCCCAAAGATATTAAATAATTAGGCTATACATAGACTACTAAAGGAGCTGAATATGCCTTATTTCTAAAAGCCCATAAAATATCATACTATCATATAACATATAAAGGGCCGATTTATCTCATTTTTTTTATCTGCATAAAATAACAATGTTGGGAGCGCATGACGTGTTAACACAACACACCCATTTAGAATTGACACGCCCATTTATAATTGACACCAACTCAATTTTCTTCTATTCCATATTTTTGTCTGAAAATCAAATCGGGCAAACCTATTATGTTCTATATTTACATTAATTCTCGTATTTTCATTTGTTCTGGCCAACCCATTCGCTAGATCTTCAAATCCGGCCAATTCCTGAGGATAGCGGGAGCTGGTGGTTGACGATGGCTCCAGCAAGCGATTCAAAGGAAGACCGCTCCATTTTGTCGGAAAGGTAATGCCTCTTCCCATTTTTTTTTTTAGTTGATTCTCTTACCTGATCCCAACCACAGGCGCGTCTAGATCTGATATATTTACTCGGCAATTCATCGCAGATTGGCGCGACTCGTAATGCAATTCAGACCCCAAGTTCGATAGCCCGACCGGTTTCGAAAAATCACTCACCGGCCAAATATGTTAAAGTTGGTCTAGTCGAGATACAAAGTGGGATCGACATAGGTAATTTTAAAATCCAGCATGAGTTAGTTGTTTTAATAACTTAAAAGCCTTCGTAATTTTGCAGATTTTACTAAACAAAAAACAAAAAAAAATTAGATGTTAATGTTTATTTTGTAAATTTCATATGAATATATCGATTTTATGAAATGGGAGTTCATCTAACCACATTTCATAAACACAAATATTGTTTGTATGTTACAAATGGATTCTTATGTCCGGCTCTTTAATATCTACAGTGTAAATTTATAGAATAACCTAGATCTATAAATTACTGGTATAAAAAAAGAAAAACAATATGTTGTAGTTATTAACAATTTGATTTTTGTGTAGACTCATTAAAAATATGTGGTGTGCATGTTGCTTGTTTTTAAAAGATTTGTTTTCTATATGCTACGCATGAATAAGGTTGTTCATAAGCTTGATTTTTTTTGTCTTTAGTATCATCTTGTATACCAGAATGTTTTATATATATATACATATATAATAACATAACTTAATGTGATTAAATATTTTCCGATGAGGTAAACGCCAACAATACAAACAAAGGCGCAAGACATGAATAGTAGGTGGGGACATACATTGGTTCTCTATCAAGATTAAGAGGTAATAATAGATTTCCTTGATATGTTTCATGCTTGTAAGTTTCTTAGAGAAATAATAAGTTTCATTGATACAATGCATGAAAGAAAGAATCAAGCTGAAAATACACAATAATTATATCGAGATTAAAAATGTCAATCGCACATCAGATCTTTGTGTGTGATATCTGATCTATTATACATTTTTCTTGCATGAGGTTTGTGGCAGGGATATCAGGTTAAATTGGCAGATTGACAACTAAAAGAATGTAACATTTGATAGGTAATTATTGTACTAAATTTTTATATATCGATTATTTATACATTGAATTGTAATGTTCTTATAAATTGATCAAGAATAAACACGTCAACCGCACCTCAATCGTATTTACATAGTAAGTATATAGGTATAATTACTTAAACAATACATAAGCTTATTGTTTCATTAAAAACCTGGAACTGGAATGATGTTTTCACGTTTGCGACTCGTCTGCCCTTTACTTTTCCAGCATCGTTTGGCATCCGAATTATCCATTCCGTATATTTGTTCTTGTTAATATCCCTCAAATATCATGCTGGTAGAACTGAAAATCGACAATAAATGACTACTTAGAATTGATAATTTTTCAGTGCATATGTGTATAGTTTTGAATAAAGGATAGACAATATTAACCAGAAATAAAAGAAATATGGACAAAGCAAATCAGGTGACGAAAACCTGGAATGATAGTTTCTCGTTTGCTCAATGATGTTTTCTCGTTTGCCTTCTGTTCGTTTGCTTTCTTTACGACTTATCTTTCTTTACTTTTTTTCAGTGTTGTGTGGCTTCTTAATTCTCCATCTAGCATATTTGTTCTTGTTAGTTTCCCTAAAACATCAAGAAAGTCAGTAGTAGATAATAAAAGAAATATAAACGAAGCTAAAGAAGACGAATTGCTGAGTATTTTACCGTTGGTTAATAAATGATACTCTAAGCAATTGAAGATATATTTATAGAAGATGGATTTATGTGTTAGATAAGCACGTGTCTTATCTATTGAGATAGAGATAAGCATAAACTTGATATATGCAGAGATAAGCATAACAATTTAACATATACTATTATAGATGATAAACCCAAATTATGAGTTTATATGGATAAGATATACACGTGTCATATATTAGTATGTTAGAGATAAGTATTTAAGGTTATCATGGAGATTCATTTAATATTTTCCACAATAGAGTTGATATATACATTTTTTTTTTTTTTTTTTTTTAGACTACTCTTATCTGATTAAGTTCTGCAAATTTTGTTCCTTCGATGAAGTGAACTTGCCGAGCTTGGTCAAGTTGGAAATCAACTTTTTGCTAGCATTAACTTCCCTCCCCCAAATACCGCACAATGGGAAGAACAAGTACGTGGAAATATGCTTTCACTTAAATATTCTATATNCATTGGTCAGCATTTCAATTTTCGATGAGCATCTCCACATGCCTCAAATGCTAGTTGTGATCGTAGTGGCAATACGTGTATTATTCATATGTTTGTGAATCTTTTGGCAATTTTTACAATGTTTGTAAGTGTGAACATTGTATGGATTTGAATGATATTTAGTTTTACAATAATTTTAATTGTGATAATGAAACAAAAATAGTAAAAACCATACAAATTTTCATAAGCGAAATTGTCTATTTAAAATTGGTAAACTATTTGATTAAATTGAATAAAGTAATAGTTTTTTATTTGCACAAAAAAATGAGAAAATTAATCTAATTGCTTAAATTATCTAAAATCGTCCATTTTTATTGGGAAGACAATCAAGTTTTAGTTGTGTTTCTTAAAAGGATAAACATCATAAATTTTTGTTACACGTCCTATTTTATCTCCAAAAAAAGCTCCGATTTTATTTCCAAAGAGGTGAAATAAACAGTCCAAAATTTCAAACTCAATTCAACAAATGTTAATATTTAGGCGGGATATTAAATCTTTTCAACAAATCTTTTCTCATTATAGTAAATTTTAGGCGGGAATTGAAATCTTTTTTTTTGCTGATTTTCTCTTTGATTTTTTCAAAAAACTATCATTCCCTCTTTATATATTAATAGATTTGTGTTGGGTAATTTATTTTTTAAAAAAATAAAAAAAATAAGTGGACAAAAATAAAATAAAAAAAAATCAGTAGCTCAAAATTAAATACACGTATTCTCAGAATACGTTTTAATAATTAGATTTTATTTAAAAAATGTATTCTTAAAATACGTGTTATAATTAATTTTATTATTTTTAAAAAATTAAAAAACATTATAAAACGTATTGTTATAATACGTTTTTTAAAAAAATTAATAAATAAAATGTATTTTTATAATACGTTTTATATTAATGAAAAAAAATTAATATTTAGCATATATTTTGTGTTTCAAGTTCGTTTGGGATCGTCTGAACTCGGAATTGAGTTTCGTTTTTTTCTATACGTAACTAACGACCCACTCTATTCAATGATGCTTGCATGACCAAATTATTCTTGAAATCTCTTGACCAATGGAACACCCGAAATCTCCTCTTCTCGCTAATTTTGCTACTATTCCCACGGGAATTCAAGTTTCTCTAATTAAATGCGGAACTCCGAAATACTCGATAAATGCCCCGTATGACATCGTGCCTGAATTATCTACACGCCCCAACTCGATTCTAGGTAAACCGAAGTCACACGTGACCTTGCGGGACCCACGTAAACGGCTTTTTTATTTATTTTACTAATATGCACCCTCGAACTCGAGCTTCTCTAAATAAATGATCGGGACCTCGAAATAATAAATCGACGCCATAAACGGCTTCTCCTCTTCTCATGCTTTTTCGAAAGCACTTTTCGTTAATGCTCGACTCGCTTATCGAGGCCTGACGGAACACCCGAAGTCTCCTCTTCTCGCTTATTTTGCTACTATTCCCACGGGAATTCAAGTTTCTCTAATTAAATGCTCGGAACTCCGAAATACTCGATAAATGCCCCGCATGACATCGTGCCAGAATTATCTACACGCCCCAACTCGATTCTAGGTAAACCGAAGTCACACGTGACCTTGTGGGACCAACGTAAACGGCTTTTTCATTTATTTTACTAATATGCACCCTCAAACTCGAGCTTCTCTAAATAAATGATCGGGACCTCGAAATAATTAAACGATGCCATAAACGGCTTCTCCTCTTCTCTTGCTTTCTCGAAAGCACTTTTTGTTAATGCTCGACTCCCTTATCGAAACCCGACGGAACACCCGAAGTCTCTTCTTCTCGCTTATTTTGCTACTATTCCCACGGGAATTCAAGTTTCTCTAATTAAATGCTCGAAATTACAAAATACTCGATAAATGCCCAGCATGACATCGTGCCTGAATTATCTACACGCCCCAACTCGATTCTCGGTAAACCGAAGTCAAAGTCGACCTTGCGGGACCTACATAAACGGCTTTTTTCATTTATTTTACTAACATGCACCCTCAAACTCGAGCTTCTCTACATAAATGATCGGACACTCGAAATAATAAATCGATGATATAAACAGATTCTCCTCTTCTCGTGCTTTCTCGAAAGCACTTTTCGTTAAAGCTCGACTCGCTTATCGAGGCCTGACGGAACACCCGAAGTCTCTTCTTCTCGCTTATTTTGCTACTATTTCCACGGGAATTCAAGTTCTCTAATTAAATGCTCGGAACTCCGAAATACTCGATAAATGCCCCGCATGACATCGTGCCTGAATTATCTACACGCCCCAACTCGATTCTCCGTAAACAGAAGTCACACGTGACCTTGTGGGACCCACGTAAACGGCTTTTTCATTTATTTTACTAATTGCACCATCGAACTCGAGCTTCTCTAAATAAATGATCGGGACCTCGAAATAATAAATCGATGCCATAAACGGCTTCTCCTCTTCTCGTGCTTTCTCGAAAGCACTTTTCGTTAATGCTGGACTCGCTTATCGAGGCCCGACGGAACACCCGAAGTCTCCTCTTCTCGCTTATTTTGTTACTATTCCGACGGGAATTCAATTTTCTCTAATTAAATGCTCGGAACTCCGAAATACTCGATAAATGCCCCGCATTACACCGTGTCTGAATTATCTACACGCCCCAACTTGATACTCAGTAAACCGAAGTCACACGCGACCTTGCGGGACTCACGTAAACGGTTTTTTCATTTATTTTAGTAATATGCACCCTCGAACTCGAGCTTCTTTAAATAAATGATCGGGGCCTCGAAATAATAAATCGACGCCATAAACGGCTTCTCCTCTTCTCGTGTTTTCTCGAAGGCACTTTTCGTTAATGCTCGACTCGCTTATCGAGGCCTAACAGAACACCCAAAGTCGCCTCATTAAATAAGCTAATATATAGCGAAAAATAAAGAAAATTAAATATAAATAATAATTTTTTTTGTAAAACGTATTACAGTAATACATTTTATAAAACGTATTACCGTAATACATTTTACAAATAAATATAAATTATAAAATTAATTTAATTTGTAAAACGTATTTTCAAAATACGTTTTACAATTAATTAGTTGTAAAACGTATTACGGGAATACGTTTTACAATTAAATGTAAATTATAAAATTAGTTTTAGTTATAAAATATATTATTGAAATACGTTTTAAAATTAAAACGTGTTTCGAGAATACATTTTACATTGTAAAACGTATTTTCAGAATACGACCTTTTGATTTTGGTCCACATTTTAATTTTTCTTTTTGTTTTTGTTCACTTATTTTTTGAATTTTTATTTAAAGAAAAAAATCCAATTGGTGTTTCGTAATTTCTTTTTTAGTTTTTTGTGTTTCCTAATTTTATATGTTTGTGTTTTCTATTTTATTATGTTTTCTATTTTCTTATGTTAATTTATAACGTTGCTATAAGAAAAATATTTCGGAGTAGGTTCTATAAATTAAAAATATATTTAAAAATTGATATTATATGTATGACAATTAATCATCACATAAATATTGAATATAAAATAACAGATAATTAAATTTACCTTCATACAAAAATTGAATTATAAATCAATTCTAATGTAAAATAATAAATGTACCATTCATTTACTAAATAAATTTATCTATCAATACAATTAAAAGATATAAGTTAAAAAAATATTATAATATAGAACGATCGAATTTTATAGATGACAAGTATCATCTACACAAAAATAATAATGAAATTTGTAGTAAGTATTACAATTTTTTTAAAAAAAATACTTCTACTTTTTAATTTTTTAATTGTAATTAACACTTGTATAATACACACCAATATTGTACCACTTAGGACTGGGCAAAAAATTCGAACCGAACCGCTGAATCGTAGATCCGAATCGAAATCGAACCGAATTTTCGGTTAACCGGGGTACTCGGTTCGGTTACAAATACCTCAAAGGAAGTATTTGCTCGGTTCGGTTCGGTTACGGTTTTTAAGATTTTTTTACCCCGGGTAACCGAACCGAACCGTATATTATATTAAAATTTATAAAATATATATTATATTATATATTATATATTATATATATTAAACTAACCTAAATAGTAAATACCTAATCAACACTCAATCACTCACCCAATGATTGTGATTATGATTTATGATTTGCAAACATGAATGATTGGCTGATTATGTTTAATTATTTATGATGTTTTCGGTTCGGTTCGGTTCGGTTTATTATTTGCAAACAAGTAAGCAGATTTGTGTTAGGTTTGCTCGGTTCGGTTCGATTCTCTTAATTCGCGAATAGTAGGATTTTTTCGATTAACCGAAAATTCGGTTAACCGAGATTTTCGGTTCAGTTTCGGTTAGCAAGTTCGAATATTTGCTCGGTTCGGTTCGGTTAGCAAATACCTCAAAAAACTCGAGTATCCGAACCGTGCCCAGCCCTAGTACCACTAATAATACTTTTTTAAAAACACAACATATATTCCTTTTACCTTTTTCTTTTCTTTATGATAACAAACTTGACTTTACACCTCACTAGCTAAGACCAAGTTTTCCAAATTTGATTGTTTTTGCTACAATTTCTTTAATTTTTCTTGAGAGCAAAATCTAATTGTCACAGCCAGCCAAATAAACTTCTGAGGGACAGAGCATACAAGAAAGATGAATATGTCAGTCACAACTCACAACAAACAATTCCTCTTGGATTACACTGACATATGACTTACAGAAAGCCAAACAAAAATGTCATATTCATACTTCAGAGTCAAATACAACTACGCAAACGTGCTCATTTGCAGTTGCATAGAGCAAAAAGACTTGGAAATTTCACACACAAAAGTATTCCTTGTGGTATGATATGCCCATATGTAAATCAAATTGCTGAAAATTGAGCAATCAATCTTTGGAAGGTGATATCCCGCAAGCCAAACCCTTGATTGTGTGCCTACACTGGAACCTGCCACATCAATTAAACTTGTTGAATTTAGAGATCTTAACGAATTTAAACTTTTACAAACCTTACTGCTCAAAACTCTGCACGCTACATGGGGATGATCCACCGTACAGAGAATTGCAAAATAAACACAAAGGTAATAACTTTATTCTCAACAGTTCCAATTCTGATCTGATTCAAAAGTGACCAAAATAATCAAATGTGCATAAGTTTCCATACATCCCATAATTAAAAATCCCAAAACATAAACTAGGTACAATACACTGCTATACAGGATTAGGAACTAAATTAATTACTTTCAGATATAAATCGAGACCACTTATCAGGAAATGAAAACCATAACATGTTCAGATTATTCGTTACCAGATCATGTCTTTTGATGTGGAGTCCTCGAATCCAGCAGAACCAACACAATCATTCAGCTGATTGTTCATTTCCACATCTCGGGTTCTGCACCTAAATCTTAATCTCAACGGCACTTTCTGTAACATTGTTTTACAAACATCATCATTTTACTAAAGCATAATAGGAAAAGCAATTTGAAGCAACTAGTCACTACCATATTCTGCAGCAACTATATCAGTTATCACAGACTTAAGAACATGACAAATGCAAATTTCCACTTCCAACTAAAGCAAACACCATTAACAAAAGGATAGTAAGCGGTAATTACAGACATGTTACCTTTTTATTTTGCCGAAAATCACGTTTGGGAAGAAAGTGTAGAGGCAAGTTAAGGTGAGAAGGAGCTTTCACCAACAGAAACAACTTTGTCGGACCTAAAAACATTTTTGCTAACAAATTATGAAGCGCAAAGAGACAAAAAAGCAACTTCAAGAACCAGGAAATAACTACTGAGAATTACCAACATACGAATCTGATCCAGCACCCATTGATATCAACATACGTATCGCCTATCAAAGAAAACAAAAAAACTTCAGCAGCAATTCATCAAGCACTTCGTGCAACGAGCTAAATGCAAATGTCACTACCGAAATCCATCACAACCTTTCGGGAAAGTGTTTCTGCAACTTTATTTCGACCAAAATCACCCGAAAATGACTTCTCGAGTGGAAAACTCAGTTCATAAGTATGCAAAGGCCTTAGAGGACTAGGACCAAGAACCAGGGAAATCTTCTCTACATCTGGAACTTCAGTAATCACCAGCTGAAGGGCAGTCTTGATATTGGAAACGCAGCCCATCATTTTTTCCAACCTTCGAATCCCCATTTTCACCTCTCTTCTCCTCGACGCTTGTTTTCTCCTCGTTGATAACGCTATCCCTTCGCTTTTCGCTAGCTCAAGCTCCTGTTCAGTACTAAATTTAAATATCTTACTCAAAATGTGCCAAACAAAAAAAAAATAACAGAAAAAATCGAATCTGGGGAACTGCAAATGGTGAAATTAATCACCAATTCTCGAAACTCGCCGCTCAAATCGTCGAACTCCTGGGTGATGTCCTGAAGTACTCTGGGCAAACAAAAAAATTCCATCAAAAATTTTGAAAAACTGGTGAAAATTACGAAAAGATTCAGGTTATTGAGGAGATTACGAGGGGATCTGCTGGTGCATGAACAGGATGAAGCCGAGGACGTCCGTGACGACATGGAAAACGGCCAAGCAATCGAACGAGCCGGCGGCGATATCGATGTTCATGGGCTCCATCTCCGAGCTACCACCGCCTTCTTCCATCGACACTGCAAATCTGTCGGGAAAATAACGCCGGATTAAATTGATTTGTGATGAAATTTAGGGTTTTNAAATTTTCCAATATTTTGAAAATAAATCATAAACATGTCAGTCATTAAATTCATCTAATATATATATGTCGAAAAATATATAAGCGCGATAAAATTAAGCATATAAAAAGACGCTAATAAATATATAAAATACACCTTTTTTTCGACCAATCAGTGCGGGTCCACCGGGCACTAACCGAGCCGATCGGCCGGTAACTGTCCGGTAACTTTTTCGGCAGTTTCAAGCATGTCTCCAGAGTGCATTTTCCTACAAAATAAAAGATAAAAAGAGAAATAAAAATCACAAGAGACTAAAACGACACGAAAAACACAAAAACAACTAAATGAACCAGGAAAAAACCTAAAATAAAAAAAAATGAATATAAATAAAAAACACAAAATAACAACAAAAACATACAAAACATATTGCTTCAGGGGCTGATAGATACAGAAGATAGTTGGAAGGTTGTTGTACTTAAATATGATAAGGCCTGATTTGACATTTGCTGTATAACAACTGAGTCAGTTTGTTCGCAAACCTACTATTGCTCATTGGGATGCTGCTTTACATGTAGTGAAATAACTCAAAGGTCATCCATCTCTTGGTCTTTTTTATTCATCAGACAGTTCACTCGCCTTACATGCCTACAATGATGCATATTGGGCTACCTGTCAAGATTCCAAGAGGTCTTTGACTCGTTATTGTGTGTTTCTGGGAAGTAGCCTTATAGTATGGAAGACTAAGAAGCAAGCAACTGTGCCAAGATCACCAGTTGAAGCTGAGTACAGGGTTTTGAGCAACACTATATGTGAATTGCAATGGTTGTCCTTTTTTTTTTTTTACAAGATTTGCACATTTCGATCTCTACTCCTATCCCTGTGTGATGTGATAATCAGGGACGGATCTAGAAATTAAAAGTAGACTGGGCTAGCATTTTAAAAACTCATTTTCGTAAAGTTCACATAATATTTTGTCTTCAAATATTCATTGAAGTTGTCCTCGACGAGCTTTTACAAAATAAAATTCATTATGTTCAGTTTGCACCGTATTTGACGTGGTTTCACTAGTTTGACGATCCCTTTTTCTAAAGAACGATGATGTCAATGTGGTTTTTCCTTTATTGGCAGAATGTTGGTGCTCCATGTGAATTTTCAAAAATTGTACAGTACTAATAAATTGATTTTTCATATGGCATAGTTATTAGCAAATTGAAATGCTTACGCATCATGACTTTAAATCCAAATATGATATACAACAACCACACTAGAGGATAAAAGTTGAAAAAAAAAACAATTACTACTTCATACTCAATCAACAAAACAAAAAATTGAACCTACATGATCCTAACAATTACCATTAAAACCCAAAATAGCTACACTAAAATGAAAAGATAAATAAAGACAAGTAGACAAATAAAATAAATATCTAATAGAGGTTTAAAAATATAACTTACTATTAAAGAAACAATTAAATCGTCTTCTTGAAAATAGTCTCTTTTTTGTTGAATAGTTTTTTTCCTACTAAATTCATTGTTCTCGTGTTAGAGCATCTCCAATGTCATAGCTTTGAAAGACAATTATTTTTAACACATGTCAATAATGATTGTAATGTTAATCCATGTAGGAATAATGTTAAAAGAATAGAAGTTTGAATCAAAGTAGTATCTTCAATGCATCAATTTGATATGAAATTATTTGTATAGGTGGACCAATTAAAATAATCATTAATACAAGAACAATAAAAAATTAAATCAAATATAAAGTGAATTGATTAGTTATCATGTTTAACATGGTGTTAGATATTAGAAAGTGTGTTCAACATTGTCACATTAAATGCTATCCACCTCATCATGAAATGGCTTATGACAAGATGCATTGGAGAATAAATTAGTAACACACTTTCAAAAGTTGATGATATGGATGAATTTTTATAATGTCAAAAGTCACATTGGAGATGCTCTTAGTGTCTAGTGGGAAGAGTGAATCAACAATATATAATATTTTATTAAAGTGGTGTTTGTAGTATTTAAACTTAAATAGATAAGTGAATTCTTTTGGAAGGTTAATAGGTTGGTTAATTGGGTTGGGCTAAATATAAAATAATTTTTTAAAAAAACTTAGAGGCCTGGGCTGATCATATAGTAATTATGAAAAAAATTATATCAACATGTTATTATGCAAATCATTTCTTTCCAAAACACTCATGCATTGAACTTTTTCAAATTGGCATTTTACGCCTAAAAAACTAATCAAAATAACTTCTTTTCAAACAAACTAATTAGTCGATTTGACGTGTTAAACCTCTAAACAAAATTCAATCCACTAACATCCATACACAATCCTTACCAAACAAATAATTAACGAATTTGATGTGTTAAACTTATACCTCTAAACAAGGTTCAATCTGTTAACATCCAAACATGACCCTTACTTGGTCAAATTCCAACCAAGTCAGTTCAATTAATTTTTTTTAATAAACAACAATAACACGCAGTTACATATAACATAGCATTAAAATAAATTTTAAAAACATGTAATAATCAAAATCGAATCTATACTTATATAAAAAAAATTACTATTTACTAAATATAGCAAGCAAAACAAATTTTAAAATTTCTAAATAAGGAAGGGATAGAAGTTTAAATAAAATATGGTTGCTTTAACAAACTTATAGGGAAAACAGAAAAAAAAATAAAAAAAATCTTTAATTCAAATTCAATTGTTAACAATTTCCTAATAATTTTCATGCAAATCTTTAATTCAAATTCAAATGTTAACAATTTCCTAATAACTCTCCTACAAAATTGCCCGCATAAATAATGATAGACATGAAATTTAGCAGTATTCAAAAGTTAAGGAGTAATTCAAATTGTGGAGAATTTAAAATAGTACGAGTTTGCATCATTCATTTTAGTAAAAAAAAAAAACTTAAATGAATTTTATTAAAAAATTAACTTCATTTAATTAACTTGCACTAACTATACTGTCCATGCGAAGAAAAAAAAACACAATTATATTTATGCAATTAAAAAAAGTGTATGCTACAACATTGGATATTAATCCATACATCATAAGTACTCACTTAATAAATCTTCACCACATAATTTGTTGGAATAAAAAACTTAATGACGGAGAAAAAAATAGGGACTATGTTTACTTGAATGACTATCAACACGTGTACAGATTTTTAAATTTATTTTTAAATTAAAACTTTAAATTCGTACTCAAATTGAATTGAATAATATAATTTAATTAGAACTGTAGGAGTTTCTTAGAGAAAAACTATCAAGCAATTTGCATTGATTTTCAGAAACAGATAAATACTGATTTCTAAAATTATGGGGATTGTTTACTTGATATAGATTATGACCACGTGTACAGATTTTAAAACCATCATGAAATTCAAATTGGAACAATATGACTTAATTAGAATTGTAGGAGTTTGTTAAGAACAAAAACTCTCTGTGAGTTTGCATTGATTATCAAAAACAAATAAATACGGATTTCTTTTATAAAGAAATCATTTATTCGTATTTCATCATAAATCTCAAAGATGTGTACTTTGTTGATACGTGTTTGAATAAAAATCTTAATAACAACGAGACTTTAAAATCATTACATAAAATTGATAAATGAAGTATTCAGCGTAGAATTTTTAAGTCTCCGTTTATTTTATACATTTGAATACAAATTTTGATAATGAGATTTTAAAATTATTATATAAAATTGATAAATGAAGCATATGCATAAAGCATGGAGTTATTAAGCCTCCGTTTATTTTATACTCAAATTAATGATGAAATAATTTTCGGTATCATCTCAATAATCTTCTCTCAATTTTAATATTTTAGACATAAATTTTGTTATGTTCTTTATATAAGATAATTTTATATTGTTACAATAGACTATATAAAGTAAATTTTATCACATGTAACCCCACATCTTTAATTTATAATTATAATTAATATTGCTTATCTTAATATTTAATTGATAATTATTATTAGTTTATTATTATTATTTTTGGTACAATGAAAGAGGCCATAAGCCTATATTAGGACTCGACAGGGATACGACACTCCAATAATATCATGCTCTAACTAAACTCCCAGAACCGAAGGCTGGAAACCTACTCGCTGAAGGTTGGAATTATTACTATTATTTACCCGTGCATAGCACGGGCTAAACACTAGTACACCATAATAATAAAGAAAAATACCGAACCTATAAAAGAAATTTAGGATAATAATAAATTAACAAACTTCCATAATTGGCCGCAACTTTTTCATTTTCAACACAAAAGCAAAACTAGAGACTACGAATCCACATACTCCAAAAACTCCTTATCCTCTTCCAAACCAGTCAAAGTTTCCGCAGCCAAACACGCCTCAATCTCCACACTCCCTTCCTCCAAACCCCGCGAAATAGTTATCCGGCCGTCGAAAGCATTGGCTGCGCCGCCCCTAACCGCCACCGGCCTCCCCCACCCGAAATCGTTGCTGTAAACATCAAACCTCGGCGAATTTATCAACATGAAGTAGTTTTCTGGTAGCCGGTCCAGCCTCTGCAGGTTGGGCCTCTTTATCCAGTCCATATACACCTCCTTCACCTTACTAGGCCCATTGAAGGAGCCCACCATCTTGTTTATCTCGGCCGCCGTCCAGCCCAACCCGTTCTCCAACACGTCGTCGATTTTCAAGGTCACGATCCCTGGGAAAATTGCGTTCCCAAAATACCCTTCGGGTAGGGGCGGGTCGAGTCGCCCCCGAGCGCCGATCGGTATCTCGAACGACGTAGTTGTTCCACGGGCGGCCGGACTTTTCCCGCCAAAACGGCAGCGTATGGCGGACCGCCAAACGTGGGCCACGACCGCCTGGAGGGATGAGATTTTGATTCCGGCAGCTTCCCGGCCGGCTTTCTCCCGGAGACCGGCCACGGCGCGTTTGGAGAAACGGAAAATCCTTTCGCGGAGGAAGCTCGGTTTTGGTGGTGGTGGTTCGGGACTTTCGTCGAGCAGGTGGAGTGCGTCAGAGATGTCGACCCCGGCGGATCCGGTCAGGTCGAGGGTGAGCCGGCCCCGGTCGAGAGACGGCGGTTTGGACAACCGGACGACGGGTCCGCCGCGGGATATCTCGGCCCAGGAGCTGAGGAAGTGCCAGAAGGAGGTCCCGTCGGCGAGGAGGTGGTTGATGCTGAGGCCGACGAAGATCCCGTCGGCCAGCTCGGTGACCTGGGCCGCCAGCAGCGGCAGGGACACGCCGTCAATGTTGCAGGCTCCGGCGAGGGGGAAGAAAGATCGGACGGCGGCGGGGACGTACGCCGGCCGGAGGATGTCGGCGACGGAGAGATCCGCGGCGGCGTGGACGAAGAGCGCGCCTCCGCCTCCCGCGGGGCTGCAGTCGATGGAGAAGCGGCGGGATTCGGCTGCGGAGGCGAGGCGGCCGGCGAGGGGAGGGAAGAAATGGAGGGTCTGCTCGAGTGATTGTTTGAGGCGTTGGATTAAGGAGGTAATGGGTTCAGTTTGTGGGCTGGGCTTGAGAAAGAGAAGGCCCTTTTGGCTGTACTTGAGAAATAGAAGCTCCAGATCCCACGGGGTTAAGTTGATCTGGGACGTTGGTTCTGCTTGGGGTGGGATTGTGACCGTTGATTTTGATATTATGTCAATTTTGGAGTTGGACATTTTGTGAGGGGAGGAGAATATTGATACAAATTCATTGGTTAGTGTATGATGGTCACATGCATTTATATGGAAAATTTCACCAATTAATGGAATATTTTTTTACAATTAGATCAACATTATTGAATCCAAGTATTATTGAAGCAAAGGTTAAAAAAAAAAAACGATAACTTCAATTAGCATCGAATGCTCCGCATTTAAATATACTGATTGATACAAATAAAGTAAAAAAATATGTGATATTGTATAATTTTTATGTTGTGTTATTCTTTTTTATTAGTACGTAGCCCGTGCGATGCACGGGACATAAGTATTAATGAGTCATTTCCACAGAGCTTGTCCGTTAAGTAGCTCGTGCGATTCACGGGAGATATTAAATGAGTGGACCATAGGGCTTGTCCGTTCAGCCCTAAAAAATAATAGAGTTTGATCATCTATTACATCTTTTCATCAACGTCATTTTTTTTGTCGGAACATTAAACCTGAGTCGGGTAGTGCTAGCCCGTAAATTAATTAATATATTATCTCGGTCACACGTTTATAATAATATAAATTTAATTTCATTATATATATTTATTCCTTGATATAAGAAAAATAACAATTTTACGTAATCTTGTTCCTCGTATAATACTCATATTGTTTTATTATAAAATTTATTGTAATATAATGTTATTATTATTATTTATACAAGTTATAGATGTAGTCTTCTTCTTCTTTTTGTATTATGTAATTAAAATGTTTATTGTATGTTCATATTATTTATTAATGTAAGTAATTTAAATTATGTAAATAAATTTAAAGTAAAACATTTTATACAAACATTTTAAAAAATATACACAAATATTTTTTAGAATTTAATTTTTTTATAATAAATAAACATCTTTGAAATTCTATCAATTATTAAACATCTTTGATATAAATTCGAAATCATAATTGAATTCTATGCAATTATTATTTCCGTCCGATGTTATGGGAAACAAATCATTCGGAAATGTAACAAAATGATGAGGAATTTTAAAATTTAAATTTTAAATGAGACATGCTTTTACTTGAATTATATGCAGTTATTATTTTGTCTGATTTTATGGCAAACAATTCATTCAGAAATTTAATGTAACAAAATGATAAGAAATTTTAATATTTAAATTTAAGAAATGAGACATGTTTTTACTTGAAGTCTATCTGTCCGATTTTATTGCAAAACACATCCACAATGCTTTGGGTTCAATTCTAAAAAATTACATGCCACATAAGAAATAGACCCAGTCTAAAAAATATATTCTCCAATGTAAATAAAAGTAGACTGGGTCCTGTTGATGTGACAGTCAGAAACGGAAATAATAATTGGAGTGAATTTTGTCCTATTTAGACTCAAGTAAAGACCTAGTCTCTTTACATTGGAGTGAATTTTATTAATTTTACATAGTTTTATCTATGTCATCTAAGACTTGAGTTTATTTATTTGCCACATAGGCAAGACTAGACCCAATGAATTGAAGATGCTCTTTAAGGATGAATTAATGCAAATTGGTTTTTTAGCAATAAAATAATAATACAATTGAAAAAATTGATGGCTTTTTATATAAGTATAAATTTTATTTATTTATTTATTTTTTGTAATATGTTGTGTTATTTGGTTCTCGTATTGTCTATTTCATATGACCATAAATGTGATAAGAAGGCCATTTTAACTAAATATACATTTTCTTTTTACTGTTATCATATTTTGTGTAATCTATATATATATATAATTAGGGGCTATTCCATTAATACTAAATTTTTTCGTTTCCCGCTCTTTTTGGGAGGGGTTAATTATGACAAAAAATTCATATTGTTCTTTTACATTGATGTATAAAAATCTAACTAAGTGTTATTAAACTCATATTGTTCTTTTACATTGTTCTTTAATTTATACTCATGTTCATAATTTGATTTATTTATCTTTATTAGAGATTTAGGATTTAGAACTAGCAGTCAATGTGTGTATTTAATATTTATTCATCACTCTTAAATGTCTTAATTCATCCTCTATGGCTTGGACAGTTTGATAATTAAAAAAATTGTTGAAGAGATGTGTCATTTGCTCAAGAACACATGGATCATATATAGACTTTTATCACTTTTTAATTCATGAAGGCTTTTTGTTAGTGTAAATATTGTTGAGCATTTAAACTAGTAAAATTAAGATGTTATGTATTTTGTAGTGCAAGTTATTAATTATTTTATCCATTTTAACATGCAGTTTACGCCTATATATATGTATATGTGTGTGAGATATATATTAAAAATTATATAGTTCCCCTTGAAATGTTATTCGTGTCGAGTCAAGTTGAATACCTCATGTGTAAGCTTGTGATAGTTTAATTGGACCATTTAATAAATAAATAAAAATATGAGCTCAAACTCGACTTGTGTAAATTTCAATCTACTCGATTTGTTTAATAAGAAAAGTTGAATAATCGTTCTAGTTTAAGTCATTTAAGTATATAAATTATGTGAAATCAACTTTTCACTAGTTAAACAAACACGATCGAGCTTGACCCCTGTTGAAAATCATGGTAAACGAATCATAGTGCAAGAAATCGATTTGAACAGTAAAATATTTTCCATTAATGCTCAATGCGGCGCATAGATCCAGAATAAGAAAAGCTACACAAAACCTAACATTTATGTGCTATTTATATCAGCTTCTTGTTCAATAGTGTGAGGACACTTGTCATTATCATGCTGCAGCTGAGAAGATGATCCTACGGCTCTCCATGCATTGTCCATACAGCTGTTAAAGGCACTTCCTTCATTTGAATCATGCAAGACGACAGAATGATTGGCACATGCAATGCTCGTGCTCCTTCCATGCACAGGTAAGTTTCTTTTGTCTTCATGCTGTGAAATCTTTTTCTTACTGCTCGGTAAAGCTGTTATTTCCAACACTCCCCCACAATCTAAACCAGGTTGAGTAACCACATTTAACTTTTCTCTCAACTTGGTGAAAGATTGTTCATTTAATGCCTTTGTTAGAACATCTGCTATTTGAAACTGAGTAGGAACATGCCTTACCTCAAGATCTTTAGCTGCAACTTTTTCTCTCACAAAGTGATAATCTAACTCAACATGCTTGGTCCTTCCATGAAGCACTGGGTTAGATGCCATAGCTATAGCACTGAGATTATCTATCCATATAACTGGTCTCTTTTGTTCAGAGACATGAAGTTCATCAAATAAGCTCTTCATCCAGACAATTTCTGAAGTTATATGTGCAAGACTTTTGTACTCGGCTTCTGCACTAGACCTTGAAACTGAACTTTGCTTTCTAGAACTCCAAGACACCAAACTTCCTCCAACATAAACACAAAAGCCACTTGTTGATCTCCTGTCATCCAAGTCAGCTGCCCAATCAAAGTCACAGAAACCAACTATATTAAGGTTATCAGTCTTAGGAATCTTCAAACTGAGAGATGTGCTACCTGCCACATATTTCAAAATCCTCTTTATTGCCTTCCAGTGTTCATCATTGGGATTGGACATATACTGACTGACTTTGTTGACTGAAAAGGCAATTTCAGGTCTGGTAATAGTGAGGTACTGCAATCCTCCCACCATTCTTCTATACATTGTAGCATCTACACTTGTATCAGACTGATTTCTTTTGAGAATACAGCTTGTGGACATTGGTGTCTTGGAACTCTTCGCATTGTACATAGAAATTCTGGACAAAAGATCTTCAGCATACCTTTCTTGAGACAGAAACATCCATTTATCATTTCTATGTACTTTCATTCCCAAGAAATGATGAACTTCTCCCAGATCCTTTAAAGAGAAACTTGCTCTGAGTTGAGAAATCACTTGTTCTATCTCTTGAGTGTTGCTCCCTGTGACCAGTATATCATCCACATAAATCAAGATTAATACAATGGACTGAGGAGACTTTCTGAAGAATAAAGAATTGTCAGCTTGAGAGCTTCTGAAATTCATCTTGTTGAGAGTACTCTTCACTTTGAGAAACCAAGCCCTTGAAGCCTGCTTTAAACCATAAATGGCCTTTTTTAATTTGCAGACCCTTTTGGGATATAATTTGTGATGGAATCCAAGAGGCTGCATCATATATATTTCTTCAGAAAGCTCCCCATTGAGGAAGGCATTGTTTATGTCCAGCTGTCTCACTGACCAATCATAGTGAACTGCAAGAGTAAGGATGATTCTGATTGTGGAGTGTTTTACCACTGGACTAAAAGTTTCTCTAAAGTCAAAACCTGCAGCTTGTGAATACCCTTGGGCTACAAGCCTTGCCTTGTATCTGGAAATGGTTCCATCTGAGTCTCTTTTGAGTTTGAAGATCCACCTACACCCCACAATGTTCTTGTTAATGGGTGGATCTGTGAGAACCCATGTGTTATTGTCAACCAGTGCCTTTAACTCTGATGTCATGGCATTTCTCCAATGAGATGAAAGTAAAGCTTCATCAAGATTAATTGGTTCTCTTTCTTGTGTATCAACCATAAGAGCCCTGGGTTTGAAGACTCCAGCTTTTGCCCTTGTGATCATGTGATGTCTGTTAGAGGTTCTCAGTGATCTTGCTGGAGATGAGCTTGGTTCTGGAGTATTATTCATCTCAATAGGTAAATCTACCACTAAAGGAATAGTACTGTGACTAGACTGAGAGTTAATAGATCTTGGGCTGTGCAAGGTATGGTTTAGAGGAGATCTGATAGGAGAATTTGTGTTTTCTGGTGTAGGATTTTGTGAAGGGTTTTCTGTTTGTGAAGGATGATCTTGGTTTTGGATGACAGGAGGGTTATTAATGCATTGAGGTTGAAAAATATAAGGATTAACATGTTCCATAGTGGTATTTTTGGTATGAGGATAAACATTTTCATCAAACAAGACATGCCTAGATATAATGACTTTACCAGAGGGTAACAAAATTTTATAGCCTTTGTGAGAGTTACTGAAACCTATGAAAGTTCCCCCAATGGACCTAGGCTCTAGTTTGTGTTTATTGAAAGGCCTCAACAATGGAAAAGCAAGACATCCAAAAGTCTTAAATCTGCTGAAATCTGGTTGATGATTGTAAAGGGCTTCCAAGGGAGTCTTGAAGTTCAAGGATTTGGTTGGCAATCTATTTATGATGTAGCAAGAGGTTGAAAATGCATCATCCCAAAATTTTAAAGGCAAGGAAGCTTGATTTAGCAAAGAAAGTCCCATTTCAGTGAGGTGTCTGTGCTTCCTTTCAGCTGTTCCATTTTGTTGGGGTGTGTGAGGACATGAAATCCTATGAGTGATTCCATTGGCTTGTAAAAAAGGAGTAAGAGATCTATATTCACCCCCCCAATCACTCTGAAGGATTTTAAGTTTATGGCCAAGTTGAGTTTCAGCCATGTTTTTGAAGTGAAGAAAGATATCATGAACCTCAGATTTAACTTTCAAAAAATAGATCCAAGAAAATTTGGTATATTGATCCACAAAGATGACATAGTAAACATGACCATTTCTGGATTTTATGGGTGAAGGACCCCATAAGTCTGAGTGAACCAATTCAAGAGGTGCATTATATTGAGTTTCTGAATCAACAAAAGGTAATCTATGAATTTTTGACACAGCACAAATAGAGCATAAACCATTCACTTTATTATTTTCAAAAGGTTGGTTACATGATTTCAGAACTCTCTTGACAATGTCAAGGTTACAATGGTCAAGCCTTTTGTGCCACAAATCTAAGGTGGACTGATTCTTAAAACTAGTAAAGAAAGCTGAAGGAGAAGGCTGAAGTTGATTGTTGGCTTTTGACTGATGTGAGGCTGAATTTGAAAGCTCAAACTGGTAAAGTCCTTGATTAAGATCCCCTTGGAGTAGAACCTCCTGAGTTACTTGGTCCTTCACAAAACAATGAAGGGGGTGAAACTCAAAATACACATGATTATCCAATGCAAACTTAGACACACTTAAAAGGTTCTTAGTCACACTAGGAACATGTAAAAGGTCTTTTAATACAAAGATTCTGTTTGAGTGATGAGGTTTTAGGTGAGATTTACCTATATGAGATATGTTTTCTCCTGAACCATTGCCCATGTAGAGTTTGCTACCACCTCCATATTCACTAGCAATGCTGAGGTTGCTGAAGTCATTAGTAACATGGTTAGTTGCCCCACTGTCAGGAAACCATTGATTAGCATCATTTGAAGCCTCTGATGGAGTGAAATGTTGGGTCACCATGTTGGCTGAGGGAGCATTAAAGCCTCTTGGTGAGTTTTCAGGAGCACTGCCCATGTAACCACTATCATATCTGTACCAGCATCTCTCTGCAGTGTGACCTCCAACTCCACAAACTTGGCACTGAATCTTCCCTTTTGAGAACCTTCCTCCTCTTCCTCTATATGGACCTCTTCCTCCTCTTCCTCTGAAATTTTGGTTGAAGGGAGCTCTGCCACCTCTGTTTTGTGGTGCACCCCTTGAGAAATTCTGAGTCATTACAGCATTTGCCATAGGATATGAGCCATCATTGTTGACTAGAGGAGTGCTAAGTCCAACTGATTCCAGTCTTGTTTCAAAACTGAGGAGTAAGGCTTGCAGGTCAATGATGGACCATGGTTCAATCCTCGAAGACACAGTTACCATGATGGGATTATACTCCTGCCCAAGACCACTAATCAAGTGCATGATTTGATCCTTTTCTGAAACCATATGACCAGCAGCAGCTAAAGCATCAAACAAGGACTTCATCTTACTTATATATTCTTTCATGGTTAAAGATCCCTTTTTGAGTCCTTGAATCTCCATCTTATACTGCATTACTCTTGCTAGAGACTGACTACTAAAGTTTCTTTGCAGGGCAGACCAGATATCCTTAGATGAACTCAGACCTACCATTAATGGCAGAATGTTGTGACCTAGAGAAGATAGAATCCATGAGGCTAAGAGATGATCTTGCCTTTGCCATGTGATGTAGTCTGGATTCTGTGTTATTGGCCCGGTTGGATCTGTGACCAAGAACTTCTCTGGTTGTTGGCAGGTTCCATCTATGTATCCTTCTAAGCCATAGCCCTTGATAGCCATTTCCACTTGCTGTCTCCAGATGAGGAAGTTTCCATCGTCAAGCTTCACAGTCACAAGCTGGTTGTTGGGAGAGATGAGTTGTAGTGAGCTGGGATGCGATGGATTCGTGGTTGAGCTGCTTTCTAACATTTTTTTTTTTGAACAGTAAAAGAAAAGAAAAGGATCAGAGTCAGGTTTGCACCTGCTCTGATACCATGTTGAAAATCATGGTAAACGAATCATAGTGCAAGAAATCGATTTGAACAGTAAAATATTTTCCATTAATGCTCAATGCGGCGCATAGATCCAGAATAAGAAAAGCTACACAAAACCTAACATTTATGTGCTATTTATATCAGCTTCTTGTTCAATAGTGTGAGGACACTTGTCATTATCATGCTGCAGCTGAGAAGATGATCCTACGGCTCTCCATGCATTGTCCATACAGCTGTTAAAGGCACTTCCTTCATTTGAATCATGCAAGACGACAGAATGATTGGCACATGCAATGCTCGTGCTCCTTCCATGCACAGGTAAGTTTCTTTTGTCTTCATGCTGTGAAATCTTTTTCTTACTACTCGGTAAAGCTGTTATTTCCAACAACCCCCCAAAATTTTTTTTCTAGATCCGGCCGGCGTGCATTGTCATTCTCTATTGTAATTATTAATATAAATATGCATTTAATTAGTTGTACTTATATGGCAAAGACAAACTAACTTTTTTCTTTCCGATTTGGGCAACGGACCCCACATACTGCCAAACTCAACGGATTTCACAATGTGACAAAATTTTAATATGTTTTATAATTAAAAAAAAAATGTTAAATAATAAAATGCATGTTACATTTTGAATACAGCACGCAGAAAAAAATTGCATAGGGATCTGCAATTTTTCTTGTCTGTGATTCATGATTGTGTGAGGAAAAAGACATTTAGAGTTCAATATTGACATTTGACGAGTTTTTGGAGATAATGATAGGTATCAATCACTGTCACATCCTAATATCCTAAGTTGTTTTTTCTTAAGACCATAACGTGGGAAAAGGTTGTTAGAGAAGTATAGCCTTGTTAGAGAAATATAGCCTATATTAATTGGGTGATATAATTTGTTTCACTTGGGTTTATTATTATTATTATTATTATTATTATTATTATTATTATTATTATTATTAATTTGGACGAATAACACATATATGTAATTATATTATTTATATGTATGTGTCATTTATCAAATAGAACGAAATATGAAAATCTGGTGTGCAACATAATTAGGAATTGTGAAATTAATTATGTCAAAACAAAGAAAGCTTTATGTTCTCTAAGTTGGATAAATTGGGCTCGATATGGTAAAAAAGGGTTGTGATTAGATATACTTCATTTAAAAAGAATAGTGGAAAAAGATGAACGGAGGAATTAATTATTTTACTAATCTTTATATATATATAAAGAGTATCATGCATTAAATTTTATTATCCCTCCAAAATTTTCAATATTCAATTTCATTTTTAAGTTACAAAATAACTTGCTTGAATGTCATAAATTATGAACATAAACCAATCAAGGGAGTTACAAAATTGTACTCAAATTTTAATTTACACCCACTCAGTCGGATGTATTAGCATAAAGAAAATGTTTGTAACGACTCTTCCATAACAATTACTTGATCAAAATCAATTTTGATAATTATTTTCTTAATTCATATTTTTTCATGAATTAAATTATGATTTATTTTTATTTTTTTTTATATTGTTATCTTTTATGATTACTAGTGTCAGTAGAAAGAAGATAAATAATAGTAAAAATTGAATAAATTGTAGTAACTTTGATTATGTGAAATTGTGAATAGATGATTGCTTTTTTTATTTTGAGGAGATCACTTTGTTGGTGCTTTTATTGCTAGGATTATTACATCCATTAGTAGCAAGTCAAATAACTTAGTAACATGTGGAGCTAAATTGTATTCATTAAAAATAGCTATTTTTGCTCCCGATAAAATGAGTTTTGAAGTTCTTTCGAATCAAACATTCAATATATTCATATGTTCTATAATGTGATTACATAATATGATTATGTAGTATGATTTTTTATTATATATGCAATCATGTGGCGTTCTCGTGATTATGTGGTGAATAATGAGAGTACTATTGAGAAATGTTATTGTGTTTTGTGGTCGAAAAAAGAAAGTAATTATCTTTCCAGCTAATCTAGCTCTACTATATATTTAAATATATTGTGCATTGTATTTTCCAGTGCATAGCTTTTTTATTTTATTTTATTTCTTGTTTTTATTCTTAGAGCACCACCTGTATTCTTCCTACTGATTAAAAAACTAATCAATAAGTCCACTCTTCAGGTAAAAAAATGTCTGGTGAAATATAAATGCCATTTTCCTTCTTCTTATCCTTTTCCTGCTTTTTGTCATCCTTTTTTGCAATATTTTTGCATTGATCTGTAGTCAAAACAAAACAAATCAATCAATCAATAAATAAATAATGGTTTTATAAAAACAAATTAAATAAATCACAACAACAAAGCTCAATTAATTAAATAACCTGCTAATTGAGGCTTGGTATGTTTTCCAAGCTCATGCACGTTGAGTTTGAGGGTTTGAACCACTCGTGCAGGCAGCAAAACTGGGGAGAAAGCTGCGAAAAGGTAAAACTAAGTAACTAAACGTGTATATAAATATATATATATATATATATATATATTTCACTCAAATTTATCTTTTTATTTATATCATGGATCCATATTAATTTAGGGGGACTACATATTTTTCTATTATGTCGTACATTTAATTAAAATATTGTAACATTGCACTATCTATTACTATATAATAGCAATAATAAAAAAAATACAAAGATAGCATTACAATTTTCCGTTTAAATTTTTATTTTTTACCATTAATGGAAATATTTTTTGAAATTTTTTGGATTCTCCCACCCTTCACATGTTTTCAAATTCAAAATTAATTCCACCAAATCACGATATATCCGGTCAAAGTCCTAAATCTATATATCCGGTCAAAGTCATAATTTTGTTATATATGTTTGAAGATTTGTGTATTTTAAAAAATAGAAAATATAATATATATTTTACATATCTCTCTATATACATTTTTTCTTAAGCTTTATTTCATTATATATAAAAAATAAATTATTCTTTAAATTAATATAATTTACCATTTAAGAGATAATGACTAGATACATTAAATAGTTTTACTAATGGTCAAAAATTAAAATTGAAATATAGTAATTGTTCTTTAGAAGTTATTTGTATATTATTGGCAACCATGATTTTTTTTTTTTTATCATTTTATTTTTGTTTTATAATGAAATTCTTATAAATATATTTTCATTGCAAGTATGTTAAATAAACTATGAATCCTTATAATGCAAATGAGAGAAAATCTTGATTATAGAAGAGATTGAGTTTTTGGCATTTGCTAAATCAAAGTTGTTTGATTAGTATACAAAATTAAATTCTAAAAAAAATATGTATGCATATTTATTAAAATATTTAGACAACATTTAATTTTAAATTTATTTATATTTTTTAAATTGATTACATAAACAAATAATACTAACGTGCATTAAATATTTTTTATTACATAAAATGAAAAGAAAAAGAGGAAGTATAACTTCTATAACTTTTATAAATAATAATGACATTATATTACAACAAAATTTATAACAAAATATTAATTAAGTATTATATGATGAACAAAAATAAATAAAACTGTTATTTTCTATTATATCAAGGAATAAATATACATACTAAAATCAAATTTATGTTAGTATAAATATGTTAGTGAGATAATATATTAAGCATTTTACAAGTTAGTTCTAACATGCTCATACTTAATGTTATGACTAAAAAAACAACACTTATTAAAAGAAGTGAAAAATAAATTATAACTCTATTTTTTTTAGACTTAAAGCTTATTAAAGAGGTGAAAATAGATGATAATTCTATTACTTTTTAGACATAAAAGACATAACCTGTGAAAATAACTCATTTAATATCTCTGTCTCGTGCATCGTACGAGTACGTACGTCCTAAAATAGAGAATGAAATAAATAAACCTGCACAAGAACTTCACTTCTTCCAACATTTGGTCTTCTTCTAACATTTGGTAGCGGTATAATTGCACTCGACGTTTTTCAATTCACAAAACTCACATGTGAATATGTAATTGCATTTGAAAATAATATAAACTAATACAATTATATAAAGCAAAATCAATATTATTGGGATATTATTCTTTTCCCAATTTACTCCAAATTAGCATGTGTTAGTATGTTCGTTTATATGTACGTATGACACGAATGTCATGTAAGAATTTTATACGTAAAAAAACTAAAGAACATATGCGTGGTTTTCATAAGTTTTGACTAACTCTTGAAATAAATATGTTCTTATTTTATCTAAAATAAAACCTACAAGTAAAAAATAATTTTCTTATTTAGATCATAATAGAATTAATCGACAAATTTATAATTTTTCAACTAGATCGATATAAAATTTCATTTTTTTATACAAAGGTGCGTGTATTTAATTATTAATTTAAACATACCATAGAAATATAAAATTAAATATCTTCAAATAGTGATTAATTAAATATATCACATATAAAACATTATAATAAATAAAAAACTATAAGTTTAAAATATATTTAATTTGAGTTGTGTTGAGTATTTTATATTTTTAAAAGACTAAATAGACATAAACAATAGTCTCTATCTATATGGACTATGAGACCCCAAAAATTGACACATGGATCACAAACCACAAAAAATAAGAGCTACAACATGTAAGATGTACATTTTTTGCTTTTGCTTTTTTATTTATTTATTTTTTTCTAGTAAAATGCAATATAAAATTTACGAAAATTCGTAAATTGCAACTTTGAGTGCATCTTGACAATAGACGTGCGTAGTTTTTTGAATAAATTTTTGTCTAAGGATGAGTATTATGTTGTAATTAAATTGCATTTAAAAAGTAGATTAATGTGAATTGCATTTTTTTCTTTTCCTGATGTATTAGTATTTACTTAATCTAAAAAATAAGAGCTGTTCTGTGGCTGTGTAAGTGTAACATGTACGAACATTCGAGCACCATTATTATTATTTTAGCCCATCTCTATATAATCTGCTGAATACCCATAAATAAAATAATAATAATAATAATAATACATATCATATCTAATTCATGATTTAGTGACTAATACATATTTCCTATTTGAGAGCGAAATACGTACCGGGCCTCTTGTTAAATGGGCGGTTAGTGACTTGGGTTTGGGGAATAAAAACGCCAGTCCCACAAGATTTTGGGCCTAAGCCCAAAAATATTGCTTGCATACCAGGCTCAGCGAAGGCCCAATTAGTCTGATTTTTCCTTTGTAGCCTCTGGCTATATTTCCATTGATGCTGAGACATCAAACGAAACAACACACAGTGAACAAATTGGTTATTTTTTGGCATCCACATAGTAATTAGCAAGTAATCACAACTTTTAAGGATAGAAAAATGGCTGAATCCAATTTCTATCATTTTGCAATCCAATTTTCAACATTTTTCCCTCTACAAATAAAATGCCATATTTATTTCTCAAGAATAAACAAATAAATTACCCACTACGTCAATTCAACAAATCAAAATAATTAATCTATGCTCGTAAAATAAAAATCCTAATAATTATTAATTCTTTTTAAGTACCATCCTTGAAGGGTTCATTTCTGCAGGCGATGGAGCTTTCATCCCGTGTGGGCGTGGCTGCTGCACCACGGGTCCAGGCCTCCTCTGCAAGAAAGAAAGAGACGCATTGAAGACTTGTACATTAGTCTATAACGTACAAACGAGAATGCACAGGGATCAAGTCATGACCCATAGCTCAACCAGGCTGGTACCTTAGTCTGCTCGAGTCCACCATAACCATTCTGAGACATGCTACACCCGAAAGCTAAAGAGAGAAAATAGTTTGCTGATTTTTTGGGTTGAAAGGAATGTAGATTTTTTCACAGTAATTCCAACTTTGAACCTACAACACAACCAATTTTATATTTACATAAGGGGTGAGGTGGGGTGGGGTGGGGTGGGGGTTGAGAGGATTATGTGATAATCAAAGAGGTAATATGGATTAGTTGTTATTAATTATCAGTCTTACCCTTGATAAGGTACCTACCACAGTTTTGTGGTCACTTATAAATTTATAATTCACCACAATTCTCATAAAATGCGGCTTAATCGTTAGGCGGATCGACTTGTCATATTTCTATACAAAAATATATATTTATTTTATGAAATGTTATATTTTTATTTATTTTTTTTATTAAATGACATTTCAATTTAAAAATATATATTGGAAAAAATATGATTGTCTAATCGTTAGACCTGCTTAGTTTAATAATGCTTATTTTTTATATAGTGATTATTATCTCTCAACTGAAATTTCCTCTTGTGTTTATAACTTGTAAATTTGGATTATTGCAAATTTATGTTTTTATTGAAAATAGAAGATTATATATTGTTATTTTATTCAAGGCACATTGTACCTTTGTTTTTAATTATCAACTTTTTGCTTGATTTAGAAAATCTAGTACTGGATTTTGAGTTCTTTCTTTAATTCAAATTAGGACATTTTTTTTTTCGCTTGATTTTAGAATTAGTGTACTGGATTCTTTTGTTCTATTATTCAAATCACATTGTGTGTGTAATTACGGGCAGATTTGGTTGAATGAAGAATTTAATATTGTTTAATTCTTATGGATGGTGTAATTTCGAGTCATTTAGTGCAAATTCTTATAATACAAATTATTAAATTCTGAATGAGTGAACCACAATCCAATATTGTACTACCTTTTATGCTCTTGGAAATTGGAACAACACTCGTCATACTTGGTAGATGGACCCGTATATTAAATATCGACGGCATTAATTTTGAAAATAAATTAAATATTACATATTGGTTAAATAGTGATAATAAATATTAATATTGAATGCATTAAAATGTAAATAAATTAAATAGCACACATTGTTTAGAATGACAATATTAACAAGGTGTTTAAGTTAATTAACAAGGAATTCCATGTCTTTTGAGTAAAATATATACAC